TTTGATTTGATTTATGGATGGCGAGCACCGACACTCCGATCCGATGAACTAATCAAAACTAAAATGGCGCGTGTCACGTGACTTTGTTTACTAAAGATAGCGTGGGCGTTTGATTGACACTCAACTCATTAGTATTCCACCAATCACAGCTACATCTACTTTCTGGATGTGCGCAGTCAAATTGTATAGGAGACAAGCTGGAGTCTCGTGTGGCGATAGCGATAACACCGGGACGAATGGTCTGGGGTATACATATTTGGTTATAGGTGCACGTCATACTTTTTCCGTGATTCAAACAAATATGGCCGACTGGTGGCCATTTTGTTTTTCATGGTACCCATGCTACTTTCTCTTGAGTGCCATTAACGTTTCTGTTTAAATTTTTAAAAAGATAGTATACCAAGAGATACAGCTATACCATCATTATTTTTGTGATTCGATTCAATATGGTTGGCCAATGCCCAATTTTCATGTAAAAGTGCTAAATTGTAATTTTTACACGTCCGGAGCTGTTTCTCAGAGATGACTACGCCAATTTGGATCAAAGTTGGTATGATGGTCATACATATTGGGTTATAGTTGCATGTCATATTTTTTCTGTGATTCAAACTAATATGGCTGACTAGTGGCCATTTTGTTTTTCATGATACCCATGCCCTCTTTTCCATGAATGCAATGGACATTTCTGTTTAAATTTTGTACAAAGACAGTATACCAATAGATACATCAACATGAACATTATTTTTGTAATTTGATTTAATATGACTGCCCAATGTCCAATTCTCATGTAAAAGCACTAAATCATAATTTTCTACAAATCTATCTCCTATTAATGGTTTAAATCTAATCTTAATGACTTCATCAGCATCAAACTGATATGTCAGATCACAAAATTTTGGACAGGGACTGTCATTAACAATGACTTGTTAACTTCTAACCTGTTTTTTTTTCCCATTGTTTTCAGTTTCAGTATTGGCAATATTTTTCGATTTACATGTAGATGTAGATATGTATGCCTTAGTGTTTGGAGAAAGTGTTATGAATGATGCTGTAGCTATCGTCTTAGCAGCGTAAGTAACCTTTAACTGATATATAAAGAATGATTTCAAACGAGAGGAAGTCGAAATGGTACCCCCCGAAATCAAGTTGACTCTGCTTTGTTGACTGCTAACCACTACATACCTGTGTAATCATGGAGCCACGAATAGAGCTCATGATTTTTTAATGACTCTGTTATAATACATGAATATAACTTTTGTGACTATATTAGTACACAAACAAGTGCTAAAGCCATGCATGAAAAAACAGAGATAAGAAAACAATCAGACAGGTCTGAAAATCTCTGGAAACCTGCATCTGCCACATGCAAAAATGCTGGGGAGGAGGGTGGCAGGCTATACCCACTGTTCTGTGAGACAATAGCAAGGTGCTATCTGAGGCGTAGTAAATGTGTACATTGACATAGACTTGTATATAACTATTTTAGTTGGTTTATATACACTTGATAGTCTTAATAGTATAGCCTCTTGATAGTCATTGTTTTTGTTTATTGTAATTTCAAGACTGAAGACTGGGCTAGATTAGTTGTTTGACAACTATGTTTCAGTCTTTTCACATTTATTCTCAATATTTTTTATTATTTTTATCATATGTATGAGTAAATTATTATTATATACCGTTATACAACGTAGGAAATGTCATGATGGAGTATGTGTGCCCCTCTCCATGCACATTTCTTGCTGCTAAGCTCACACACAGTATAAGATAGAATTAAATTTTTAAATTTGTAAAAAATGTTGTTTATATTTTTTCACAGAACTATTGATAACTACCGAGCATCAGAATTTGACGTTGAAGCTCTGTTCACTGCTGTTGGAAGTTTTCTTGGTATATTTTTTGGTTCATTTCTTATTGGTGGACTGATGGGTTGTATAAATGCTCTCATATCCTTTATATATCTCAGATAATCTACTTTATGACTTTATAATGTTTTTTTATGCAATCAAATCGGATTCCAGAATCTAATATCTTCAATACGGAACTGATCACTAACATTGTCAGTTACTGGGTCCAGCACCTGCTAGTGGG